AGAGGGAACACAAGCAGGGGGAGTGGGAGAGGGAGAAGCAGGCTTTCCGCTGAGGAGGGAGCCCGATGCAGGGCTCGATCCCAGGACCCTGGGATCATGACCTGAGCCAAAGGCAGACGCTTAACAACTGAGTCACCCAGGCGTCCCGAACTGACCTCTTTATTAATATGAAATGACTATCTGATTCTGGTAATAGATCTTGCTCTGAAGTCTATTATAGCTGATGTTAATACAGTTACTCCAACTTCTTTTTGACTACGGCTCATATAACTTACACACCTTTTTCCGTTCTTTTATTTGAATATATTAGTATCTCCATATTTACAGTGAGTTTCTAGTAGGCAACATATAGTTGAGTAGTTTTTAAAATCAAGTCTGACAATTTCTGCCTTTTAATTAATGTTTTGACCATTAACATTTAATGTGATTATTGAAAGAGCTAGGTTTGAGTCTATTCACTTGCTATTATTTTTTGGTTTGTCCCTTTTTTCCTTCTTTCGAATTAAGCTAATATATATATATATTTTTTATAATTCCATTTCATCTCTTCTGGTTACTAGCTATAGCTCTTCCTTATTTTAAAGGTCGTGTTAAGATGTGTAGTATATATCCTTATTTTATCACAATCTATCTTCTAATGATGTTATACCACTTCATACACACTACAAGACTCTTAAATTAAAATATACTTCCACAGTTCCCCTCCTAGCCTTTATGTTATTGCTGCATGGATTTTATTTTTACTAATGCCATGAACCCCCACAATAAATTATTATTATTCTTATTATTCTTCTTTAAATGTTCAATCATCTTTTAATGAGATTTAAATAATAAAAAGGGTATATATGTGCCCATTTAGTTACCGTTTCTGGTGCTCTTTCTTCTTTTGTGTGGATCCAGATATCCATCTGGTATTATTGTCCTTTTGTTCAAAGATTGTCCTTAAATTCTCATAGTGCACATCTGCTGGTAATGAATTATTCTAGCTTTTGTATGTGTGAATACATCTTTCTTTCACCTTTTTAAAAAAGATAGTTGTCCTGGGTATAGATTTCTAGCTTGACACTTTTTTGGGGGGTCTTTGAGTATTTAAAGGTATCAATCAATTGTCTTATTGCTTGCATTGTTTCTAGCAAGAAATCTTGTGTAATCTTCACCGTTTTTTTTCTTGATAGGTAGTATGTCTTTTTTTTCCTCCTACTTTTAAGATTTGCTCTTCATCACTATTTTTAGTGGTCTGATGATGATGGTCCTTTGTGTAATTTTTTTCCTGTTTCTAATATTTGAATATGTTCAGATTCTTGGTTCTGTGTATTTATAGTTTTTATTATGCTTGGAAAGTTTTTGGCTATTATTTCTTTAAGTAGTTTTGTTCCTCCCTCTCCTTTGGGGACTCTCATTATCCATATATTAGCCCAGCTGAAATTATCTCACAGCTCACTGATGCTTTTTCCCCCATTCTTTCTTTCTCTCAGTGTTTCTTCCTCACTTCCTTTTGGATATCTTTTGCTAGGCCTCATAGTCGCTAATTTTTTTCTTCTGAATTCTCTAATTGGCTATTAAGCTTACCTCGGTTTTTTTCAATTTCAGACACTATAGTATTCATTCCTAAAAGTTGGATTTGGGTCTTTTTTATACATTCCACTTGTCTATTTAACTTTTTGAACTTATAGAATATAGTTATAATAACAGTTTTAATGCCCTTCTCTGCTAATTCTTTTTTTTTGACCAACTAAATTTTTAATATTTATGAGCTATTTATGAATCATGAATATACATTTTGTCAGATTTATAAAAGGATTGCATATTCTTTTTTTTTTTGTAAACAAAGATGGAAATTTCTTTTAGTCCACATATGACCATACAGATATTTTGAGTGCTATACAGTTTGTGCTATTACTTGACATACTTTTCCTAGAGAATCCCTGAGTAGGAAAATGCTTAACACCAAAGCTTTTCTTTTCCTTTCTTTTTTGTAGTGTTCCATGATTCATTGTTTGCATATAACACCCAGTGCTCCATGCAGTACGTGCCCTCTTTAATACCCATCACCAGGCTAACCCATCCCCCCACCCCCCTCCCCTCTAGAACCCTCAGTTTGTTTCTCAGAGTCCATAGT